TGTCAACATTCCAAAATGATGCAGAGAATTTTGTACCCCACCCCTGAGACAATAAATGAAACCCAATGATGGTAGACAGAGAGATAACAGACAAAGTCTGACAGGTGTTCAGTGGTGTCTGTACAACTATTTGTGTATTAACATTTCAGCTGGCTGACTCTGCCATTGGAATCCTATGGAACAACCGCCAGTCATTTGGGAAAATAAGTCATACAAGTTTTCAGTTTGATGTGTATGGGGGGAAAGCCTTTAAATAAACTAAAGTTTATATGTATACTATGGTTCAAAAGTTTGGAGTCCGTAAGATTTTTTATTTTTTTTTGTAAGAAAGTAATACTTTTGTTCAGCGAAGATTAATTGAATTTATCAAATGTGTCAAAAATGATTGTTACAAAATTATATTTCAAATAAATGCTATTCTATTGAACTTCCTATTAATCAAAGAATCCTGGAGAGAAAAGAAGTCTCGGTTTCCACTAAAATTTTAAGCAGCACAACCATTGGTTAATAAGAATGATTAATAAGAAATGTCACATGATTAATAAGAAATGTTACTTGAGTGCCAAATTACATTTTAAAATATATTAAAACAGAAATGTTTTTTTTTTAATTACAGTTATATTTCACATTATTGCTGTTTTTCGTGTATTTTAGATAACATAGTTTATTTAAAAGATATATATATATATATATATATGCCCTTTAAGTGCATTGCACTTTAAATGCTTTGCATTTGTTCCAAGCAGTTTCTAATGAGTGTTTGTCTCTGGTGTGCACAGAGAAATAATGATGGTAGTCTCTGAGCCCCTTGTTGTGATTTGTTTTAGGATCATGAAGGAATTTATGGTTCTCCACTGGTCTAATTCTCCCATGGCAACATGATAACGCTGTGGCATCAGTGTGTCTCCTCTTATCAATGCTGGTTTTACTGTGTTACCTCATTGTATTCTCGTAAAAAGTGCACTTATATGAAGTAACTGTGTCTCTTTTCATTTTACACATAATGTGACCTGCTCTTATGTCCTTTTCTAATTTCCACCTTAAAGGGGTCATATGATGCTGCTAAAAAGAACATTATTTTGTGTATTTGGTGTAATGAAATGTGTTTATGTGGTTTAAGGTTCAAAAAACACATTATTTTCCACATATTGTACATTATTGTTTCTTTTTGCTTTCGCACTGAAACACAGCGTCTCCCTGACATGGCTTTATCAACACTACTGCTGTTCCTGAAACCACGCTTTCTTTCTTTGCGTGCACATTTGGGCGGTGTTATGCAAATCTTCCCACATTGTGACGTAGACATGTGGGGGCGTGTTAGAACGAGCTGTTTTAGGTAGGCGTGGTTGACTCTTAACTTTTATAAAGAATATCTCTTTGGATTTGAGACTTTAGTCTTTGCAACTTTACAGATCTTCTTTATGCACCAAGAGCTTGTAACACTCCAAAGAGAAAGGAAAAATGTAAATCGCATCATATGACCCCTTTAATAATAGACCAGATGAGTGATACCTCAAGAATGAAGGATAATTATGTCTCTCTTCCTCTCTTGTTTGATTATAAATAGTCTTTATGGTCTCACTGTACCCTTTTACTGAGGGGTGGTTCTATCAGCCTTCAGTCTGCCAGCATGTTATTTGTGAGTGACAGGTGGAGGTCTTATTTAACCCTTGTGCGTCAATTAAAACAAGTTACACATAGGTTCATAGAGGAAAAAATGTTCATGTCCAAAAACTGTCATAAAAATTTGAAGCTTGGGAGTACAGACTTAAGTTTGGTCTCATTTTAAAGAAGACCCTTGGCAGATTATTGTTGAAGTAAAAAAAAAAGTTGTAAAAAATGTAAACCAAAAAAGTTATAGAGGTTTAAGTTTATGAAAATTATTTATGAGCACTTTTTATATAAAATATATATTTTATAAAACATGTTGAACACAAAAATGGCTAGAATATCAAAGCCATAAATCTAAACAAGTTGTGTTCCAAATTTGAGGTTGATATCTCAAAAAAATGAGCTTTTAGTAAGATTTTGTTTGGGTGCAGTACCAAACTTTTCCCAGTAGATTCCAGCAAAGCTCCGCTGGCATAAACAGTGGTGGGATTTGTGATTCGCAGTACAGTATAATTTCTCTCTGTCAAACATTTCAGGTGCACACACACAAACACACACATTTTTTTAGGACACACATACATACCACACTCTGACATCCATACCAACACACCCACACAATTATAGCTGCATAATTTATCCAACTTCAAATTCCTCAAAAAGAACACAAAGAATGGCCTTCTCAGCTGCCATAGTTGCAACTTTTGCGTCATCAGAACAGAGTGTTCAACGCACCACCGTTTCCGTTTAAAAAACATTTTGCACCATTTTTGTCGGGGCTGAACGCAGCCCTGGAGTGCAAAACATCCATAGAACTGCAGGACAAACCTGTCAATTTTCCATCTGTTTCACAGCCGCAAATATTTAGATCACCTCTCAAAAGAATAAAACAAAGGTACGTGAACAAAATACAAGTTTTGGCCATTTGCAATCCATATGCACCCTCGGCAATATTTCAATCATTAAACAGTGCGACAAAACGTTGTAAAAACATTTAAAGTGCCTTAATATATTTAAAAAAGTGATATTCTCTATATTTATGATGCATAGTTTACATAGGCAAGCAGATGAGGCCGGAATATGAACGCAATCCGCTTCAGTGTTTTCCTATGGGAAACCGTTTAACGTGAAACTTTGCACATTGCGTTTATATTCTGGCTTCATCTTTTTGCCTGTACAAAATATACATAATCAATAAGATGTTTACTGAATTTCGCCTTTTAATATCTGCGTTTTACTACATTACTACTTAATGCAAACTGCGTAAAAATAACTGGCGGTCAGTGGAGCAAAGCTTCGTTTTGCCCTCCAGGTGTGCGTTCCTATAAGGGTGTGACGTCACGTGAAAACTGTCAATAGGGGCCCAGTGTTTGCGACGATTGACAGGATGCCCAAATAACCAATTCACAGTTACAGTAGCAATTTCTACTTTGCAGTATATCGATTTAAAAAAAAAAAAAGATAGATACAATTGTATGTATTAAATAAAAAACAACTTCTCGCTAATTGCTATAACTTACATCGCTAGGCATGTGTTTATATCGACTCTAAATTCCTTGTATTCTGTACTTCCGTATTCACGTTCCCTGGAGTGTAACGTTACTAAATTAGGTTTTGCTTTGATTTTTGAATTTTCAGAACGATTATTCGTGAGAACTTGTTGAAAACGCAGTCAGAAAGCAAGAACCAAAAATCCACATAGATATCCAACTCCCACGAGAGATACCGTAATTTAATTAATTTATTATTATTATTAGATTATTATGTTATTTTTAAAACATAAAAATTGATTCAAATCTTTCGATATCTCAGTTGGTAGAGCGGAGGACTGTAGAGGTTCATTGCTGCCAGTGCCATCCTTAGGTCGCTGGTTCGAATCCGGCTCGAAGGACAAATTTTGCAACCGCTAAATTACAAATGTACGGTGGCCGAGAAGTGCAAAGCAAATCACAATTCTGAAAACAAAATAACAAATTACAAACGCAAATGCAAGTCTAAAAAACAAAATAACAATTCAGAAAACACAACAACAATTCAGAAAACATTATAACAAGTCAGAAAACACAATGACAAATTCGAAAACAAAATAACAAGTCAGAAAACACAACGACAGTTCCCACCATAGACTGTAAAAAAACAGGGTTCCCAAATATATTTTGTTGGCACCATAGACTGGTTGGCACAGGTGAAAGAGAGAAACAGCGCCGTCATGTGGAGATACACAGAATTTTTTACCTCTTCTTTCATTTTATGAGGGAGTTTCATTTCAGCTGACGCTTACAGATGATTCATCTTAATGTCAGAGAAAATAGGTGGCTGTGCAGTTTCATTTATTAAGTGGTGAAATGTACTATTACTTACGCAACATTCATTTCATAACACGACAGATGTGCCTCGTGCGATCAACTGTTTATGGTTTATCCATGTGCGACATTTCAAAATGCATAAACAAAATAATTTAATCTCTGTTCAGTCATTAGCGTTCACGACACGGACTGAGGTTGCTAATGTAAAGAAATTAATAATTATATTGTAGACGTAACGTCTCACGTAACGTGGGGGCGTGACCAAACATTTCATCCATTCAATCTCTCCTAATGTCCTCTTGTGGTGCATTCAAATGTTTCTCCGGTTTCTCTAAACTTTAATATATTTGTTAATGTCCTTGGGGTACCGACAACTGACAGTGTTTCTAAAAAGCTAACGTTCCTGCTTTTCACCCTGTCTTTGTGTTTTAGGTAAGCAATCAATATTGTAATATTTTTAAGTAGCATAAATGTGATACAATGTCTCAAATAAGGCCCCAAATTTACTTGGATACGCAATTCACCCTAAAAATAGCACCAGTGTCTTCGCATTACATAACAAAAGCAAAGCAGCATTTGTTGGAAAAAAAGATAGCATAAACAAGTTTGTTAGGGTTTAAGTTGTAAATCAATACATTTATTGCAATTCAGATTAAAACAGTGTTTGGGCCATTATCAGTGTTTTGGACACTTTGTGGTTGTCAGACGTTACTGAGCATGTTCATAGTTCACTTGGTGATCTGTGATTAGACATTTGTTTGAACCTTAACATCAGGTGGTTACAGGTATTTGCAAAATAGTTAAGAAGGGTTCATTTTCAGAAAATGTTTAGCACCTACTGTTTGCAAATGTTGCTTGGTTTGATGCAGTCAAATTCATAAATATGGGGTTTAACGCTCAAATTTTATCTCACAATTATATATATATATATATATATATATATATGTGTGTGTGTATGTGTATATATAATTTATTTGTTTATGTCATCAGCTATGCTGTGTGGTGGAATAGGCATTAGTCACTGAAGAAATTTCAGCAGCAGAATGTGACAGAACAGCATCCTGTAAGTAAATGAGCGAGACAACCTTTACATTTACACTTTATTAAACAAGCACAATGTGAGAGGATGAGAAACATTGTGGTGACTTATAGTTTCATATAGTTAACAGCAATGGAGAGACACCCAGATAGAGAGGAGGAGTAAACGGGGACTGAGAAGGTGTACAAGACAGATGTCAATCTGAAAAGAGAGAGATCACAAACATTTGTGGCAGAGACAGAAAGAGAACAAGCAAGCAAAGGAGAGATCAAGATAAAAAAAAACGTAGTGCAAGCAAGCATCCCGAGGAGAGGCTTAGCAGTGTACTGCATGAACAGTCTACAAATGCTTTAAAATGTTTTCATAAAGAACAGAGTAAAATTGATCCACAATAATTCTTTATATAAAAAATATATCAATGGGCCTATAACTACATGAAATAAAGAAAGCACATACAATATTAAATATTTACATTTTGTATCTAAAGTATTTGTCAAATCCTTATATACACAAAAATTTAGTCCCAAACAGTCCAAACATGAACGCAACGTTGACAGAACATTGCAGCTGTGCAGATCACAGAGCCGCAACATAATTCCAATGTTGTCAGGATGTTGGTGACCGCTTGGGTGAAGTCCCTGTGATAATGTACAGTCTTGATTGTTTCGAAGTGCTATGTGTTGATGTGCTTATAGAGAGAATCATGCACTCCCTTCAGTCGCTCCCGTCAGTGGGATTTTTGTTCTGTAAAAATGCAAAACGTAACAACTCGAAAAAGGTGCGAACAAAAAAAAATCAGGCCTCTGCGAAGTCGTGCTGACCGCTTTGCATCGACCATTTCTGAAAAACACAAAAAAGACGCAAATGAGGCTTCATGAAGTATAAGAATGTGACATAAAGAAAAACAGAAACACTTAAATTCATTTATTCAGTTTTTTTTCTGTATTTTTCTGTATATTGATCAAATAAATGCAGCCTTGATGAGCATAAGAAACTTCTTTAAAGGGGTCATATGATGCGATTTCAATTGTTCCTTTCTCTTTGGAGTGTTGCAAGCTCTTGGTGCATAAAGAAGATCTGTAAAGTTGCAAAGACTAAAGTCTCAAATCCAAAGAGATATTCTTTATAAAATTTTATGGAGGATGAGGACTGTTTCGAACCAGTAGCCTACAATGCGTCTGTGGCACAAAGGCTGTTTCTATAAAGTGGGGCAGTTCCAACTTTGCAAGGACAGTCTGGCGCTTCTGACTCACAGCCTGTAAGTACGATTTTTATATTTAAATAATTTGCCACTGCTGATTCAAACGGCGAGTTTTGAGCAGTGTAGAGTAACGCTTGTTGTTTGTTGTTTCTCCGATCACAAATGCAGACATGGTTTTATGTTTACGCAGCGCGATGCGAAACGCAACGCGTAAAAAGACAGTATAAGTCATTATAATCAGTAATTATGTCCCCACTGGATGCAACAAATGCCTCGTTTGTAATGGGTTAAGACTGTATAAGTCATTATAATCAGTAATTATTTATGTCCCCACTGGATGCAACAAATGCCTTGTTTGTAATGGGTTTTATTGGTTTTGTCTCGTCGTGCTGGGAGACGGCATCACAGTATGTTAAGGGGCGTAACATTTCCGTCACACGCTTGAGGTATTCGGCCAATCACAACGCACTGGATAGCTGGCCAATCAGAGCACACCTCGCTTTTTTAGAACGAGCTTTGTAAAAATTGACACGTTTCAGAAAGGCGGGGCATGGAGGAGAAACAATGTACATTATATGGAAAATGTGTTTTTTGAACCTTAAACCGCATAAACACATTGCATTACACGAAATACACAAAATAATGTTCTTTTTAGCAACGTCATATGACCCCTTTAAAAAACAATAAAAATCTAACTGATCCCAAACTGTTGAATAGCTTTGTGTGTGTGTGTGTATATATATATATATATATATATATAAAACATTTTTTACACAAACAGACAACTAGTGACAGACCTGATGTTTAAGAGCTGCTCTGCCTCTGGACTTTTGAGCATGTGGCAGGACCAGACTCCTCGCTGTGTCGTTTTCCTGACATCTGGAGGGTGCTGCTGTGTAACCCTCGTCCTGAGAATGAGATTTCAAGATTATAACGCTAACTGTAAAATCTGTATGACATTAGACTGCCCTCTGGTTAAATGTGGAAGTCATTACCTGGCTGTACAGCAGAACCAGGTATCTGCTGTGAATCTTGCCTGTAGCACATTGTGCTACTACTGATGCTTGCAAAACCTGTGAGACAAAACAATCATGACATGTCTTGCAAATAGAAAAATAACAATGCTGCTGAGATTTAATGAGATATTGTTGATAATTGCAGATATAGGCTAGATATTGATGTGTCATTGGCATAGTGTTTATACCTTGCGGTGGCATGATGCTGCTTGTTTGGTGGTCTCCTTGTGAGTAAACCATCGTCCTGCTATGCCATTCACCTTGAGAGGTGGGAGGCATCTGATAGCCTGAGATGAATTGAAGAAAATTTATCAGATAACATAGTAGTGCGTATATGTGTTTTAAATGGTTAATTCACAGTTTATTTCTTCATTTTTAAAACGAAATTAAAATGAACAGACGTGTCTAATATAGCGTAGCTTGTATAAAATATAGGGAAGCTAGGGAGTGTGCAAACCTGAAGGTGCAGTGACTTCCTTGGTCACATCTCCTGTTTGGAATCCCTTTAAGGTTGTGGAATTCTCACCATTTCCATTAGGGTTGGATGGCACCATTGCCAGCAGTCCTGTTGGGAGTGAAGCATCAGTCAGAGAAGAACGTGAACTCATTCCAGATTCTCTGCGATTTTTCTGCTAATTCAGGCATTTAATTATATACAATTTACACAACTCCTTTCAAAAATTAGCCCTCAATATCCAGAAGCCTATTAGTTCATAAGGATTAATCACATTTACATCATTGTTTTTTTTAGGTAAACGTATTTTGCAGTTACACCAACAATAAATGTTGCAGACAGCATATCCAGAGAGTGACGTATGGACTAGTGTGGCATTTTCATTTCCCTTAGTTTTTGTCTTACCCAGGCCATGGTAGCAGGACAGTTGCTGGCAGATCTGTTTCATACGCTCTATATTGAGGCGGCTTGCCTCTGCATGATGCACCATGGGTTTGGGGTAGTGTACTCCAATTATACATTTGGCTGCTTTCTGAACGCTTTCAGGAGCATTCCAGGGGTCATAGATATACTTGGCTGGGAAACCCCTTAACACTGGCAAATAACGCCTTCAAGAGAAAAAGAGAGTAGATTTTATATATATATATATATATATATGGGTCGCAATGTCCCATTTTGGGATCCATATCAAATTATTTACATAAGTGATTTTAAATGCATAGAAAGCATTTTATTTTTATGTATATGTTTTGTTTCTGTTGTTTGTATATATATATATATATATATATACATACATACAGTGGAGATCAAAATTAGATAATCTATAAATACTTGATTTTTTTCTGTAATATTGTTAATCTTCATCACTCAAAATCTGAAGGAATATTAGCTGTGGGTATACCACTGTTCTACAAGCATGTTTTACAAAATAACCAGAGAATTTCAACAAAAAACAACAACATTATTTTGTGGAAAACACAGTGATCAAAATTAGAGAACAGTAACCGCTGTAGCACGAAAGAAGATTACAACTAAAATTTTGGAGGGTTACAGCTGTCAAAAATGAGTAGGAATTGTAGAGGCCCTTGCTTCGAATGACTTCAGCACATCTGCGGCTGCAGGACATCACTAGTTTCTCACACTGCGCTGGTGTGATCTTGGTCCACTCTTCTTCCAGTCTCTTCCATAGTTCAGTAACTGTGGTGGGTTTCTTAGCCATAACTTTGTTGCCAAATTTTTCCAGAGATTTAGATCAGGACTCTGGCCCGGCCATTTCATTATTTCTTATTATTTCTTAGCTTCAAGGAACTGCTTTACCCGTTTTGCAGTGTGATGGGGACATTGTCTTGCATGAAATATGCAGGCTGACTGGGAGATGCTTGCAGGAAAGGAACTGCATGTTGCTGAAGGAGGTTCTGATAAACATTTGCATTCACCTGCCATGTATCTGTATAAGAGGCCCAACTCCTGCTGCACAAAACATCCCCCCAACCATGACGCTTCCTCCTCCATCTTTAACTGACTTCTTTACGCACTCGGGGTTCAGTCTTTCTCCAGTTTGATACTGAACATAATGTTTCCCATCTGACCCAAATAAATGAACCTTGCTCTCATCACTAAAGTGAACTTTGGAGTGGTTCTCCTTTCTCCACACAACATGCTCCTCAGCAAAGGTGAATCTAGCCTTTTGATTCTTTCTGCTGATGAGAGGCTCAGTCTCTGCAGAGTGCGCTTTCAGTCATGGAAGAACTGCTGGAAGAAGGAGCTACAGGACAGCCACATCCAGCTTCCTGCATTCACACTCCAGTCTGCATCCAGCAACAGCTCCTCAAAGACCTGTGAAGACACACGCATGTGAGTGCTGCCACTAAAGGTCTGTCATATTAGTAAAATATCGAAAATGATCACAATCATGAGCTCTTTATACTTTCATGCCCTCCTCCCAGCTGATCCACAGGTCTCCGCGGGTGAGGAAACAAGCAACTGCGTGCCGGGCTAGATGGTGGATCCAGCCCTCTTGTCTCAGTTGAGTCATGATGGCATCGATCCAGGGGAAACCCGTCCTGCCCTCAGCCCACTTGGCCAAAGCCTCTGGGTTTTTGTCCCACGGGATCTGCACGCAAATTGGATTGCCTTCCATCTTGTCAAAGCGTGGGTTGTTGGTGGCGGCCGTGTAAAAGAATTCACGCCACAGTAATTGGCCATAGAGGGACAGAGGAGGTGAGCTGTTCTTTTTGACCTGTGGGGAAAAAGTGTAAATAACTCAGAATTATCATTCAACTCTTCTACATGATCCCTAAGTCAGTTTAACATTAACAACATCATTTGAAGTACAATAAGATACATATGATGACATGCTGACCTTTCTGTAGAGGTCTGTGAGTTTGAAGTAGAAGAGTTGACAGGAGAGGCAGCCGAATCTTAAATATGGACTGAGGCCAGTGGGACTGGCCAACAGCGAATTGGCATTCATTCTTGGACGCTCAAAGTTGGCCACCCAAGCCTAGAAAAAAGTTTGTTATGAAAGAATCATTAATTTACTGAGCTCATCAATAAGGATGGCCTGAGATTTGTTGAACAAGTTATTTAAATGGTAAACATGCACTACTGCTCAAAAGTTTGGGGTTACACCATGTCCTAACTACACGCAACGCAACAAGATTCCAGCGACAAGCAATTTGGCTGTCCACACCTGGTGCGACACAATCACTCAAATATCAGCCATTCAGAAGCGCACTGCACTCCCAACGAAATTGACGTTTATCATCTAATCATCTAATATTAAACCTTTTTAACATTATTAAAAGTAAATACTGAGTGACTGATACCATCTTTGTTATGGAATACACTTGTTGGTTCGCACTGCGTTCACAATCTTAACGTACGTTTGCTTTAATTTTTTCAAGAGCTGAGGTAAACTATATTGTCGCTTTCAGTATGGCTATAAATGTCACGCAAAATGATATTCAAACTCACATTAGACACATCCTTGCTGAATAAAAGTATTCATTTCTTAAAAAAAAAAAAATTTTTATTAATAAATGACACCAAACTCTGAATGTTAGTGTAGATGGTGAGTATTTTTTTTTTTTAAAGAATAATATATGATCATCTCAAAAGCATCAGTTAAACTAGGTCAGATTATTATCAGCTCACTAAATGTCATTGCTTTCAAGTGTATTTCTGAATTTATATAGTTTGCTTAGTTATATTTATTAACATTTCAATCCTACAGCTGTATACGTGTGATTTATGGAGTGTCTCCAACCTTCCTCTCCAGGTGCCTCTCCAGACGAGTGAGGGCCTCTGTTTCTCCTCCAGGCCACACAGCTGAGGACAGGCCTTCTGTGTCAAAGCCTGTTCCAGGAAAAACATCAACAATTACCCTTTTTACAGTGCAACTTTTAAAAATAAGGACAGTTTGACTGATTCCCAAGTTGTTTAAGGATGCATTACATACTTCATATAGGTGAGTAGCTTAGTATTCTACACATTTTAGCTTGAAGCTATTTTTTTGAAAGATAGCAGACTAACCAAGCTCTTCCAAAGAAGGAACCCCGAACTTCTCATCGTGGTCTTCAGAGACCGGCGTGGTGCACGGCCCCATGACTTCTGCTGTGATGGTCTCTGCCGGGGTCTCCACCGCCTCCATCCTGCTGATGAGGGTCTGGAAGCGCTTGTACGTGAGCGGAGACTGGCCTCCATTCAGCTCGATGATCCTGAGAGACCACAATCCACCAGTGAGTAAGAAAAATAATCTCAAAAAAATAATCTCTGATCAACTGTTGCCATCCGCCATATCAGACAAGCTTTTGATCTTTTCTAATGTCAGTCTATGGCAGTCCTGTGCGTTTGAATAGGACAGAATCTTACAAACGTGAAAATATGATAAAACGTTGCTGCAGAGGGACTTATAATTCTGAAAAAGTCAGCGAGGATACACAAAGATTTTTTTTTATCCTGTTTCCAAATTGTTTCATAAATCTTGAGAATATTATTAAGAACACCTACCTATGCTCCAAGGTTAATTAATGTTTTAAATTTGAATAATGATTTAGGAAAGTACTGTAAAGCAAGCAATGGCATTCACTTACAACAAATTAATTATAGACCAAAAGTTACAACAAAATCGAATGGATTTGGAAGTACGTACTTGTCCAGATCATAGAGCGTGTGAGAGATGCGAACTATCACCTCCACACCTGCCTCATTGGCCAGCTTCTTGATGGCTGCGTCTCGCTCCTTTCCAAATGGCTCTGAGTCATACTCGTAGGACAGACGTGTTATGTTCCACTCCTGGATGCGTTACAAAATCATACCATTAGGGGGCTTAAAATAATCACCCATAGACAATAGTGAAAGTCACAACTCATGTGGAAGATTAAATAGAAAATTTTTTTTTCCTTTTTTTTTTTTTTTGCTTCAGTCTTATTCTTTCTAATCCAGGATATTTCATAAATCAGAAATGTTATCCAGATTCAAGATTATTACTATACTCAAATATAACAATTGTCAACTGAAACCTTAAACAGCCTGGGGAAGACATCGGTGGGTTGGCCACGGATAACGAAGAGTCGTGAGTTGAGTTTGCGGAGGCTGGCGTCCAAGTCTTCCAAACACTGCAGTAAAAACCTGAGCAACAAGAGACATGACATGTATTTATAGCAACTTACTGACAAATAATATAATGCACATAATATAAGTCTAATAAGAAGATGGTTATACTCAAGAACTATTGCGCAACAGAATATATTGAAGTGTAAAACATTTCAAAGTGGCAAGGCTTTGAACAAGTATAGGGTAAAAATTGAAAAAAATAGAAACTATCTGCTGACAGAATAATTGCTATAATTATAGATTATTACTTGCTGAAGCTACAGTGCATTGCAAAATGTTTCAACCTCATCCAATGTTTTACCCAATTTTTTGTTTTTGACAAAATCAAATTTTCTGATATATATATATATATATATATATATATATATATATTATATATATATTTATTTATTTATTTATAAGCACTCACTCAGAATTGATCATTTTAATGTTGCTTTAAATTAAAAATATTTTTTCTTATATATGATATATAAATATTTGTAACTGTATATATATAAAAATATGCTATTTGTAACTACCTTTCAATTTGATAAACAAATCATAATGTGTCACAATGGTAATTGGTTAATTACTCCATTCCTGCTTTTGAAAATGGGAAAACATAGGAAATACAGAACGCCTGAGTCAGTGTGGCAATACTGGCATGATTACAACTTACAAACAGCCATGCTTACAGTGAAAGAAACTGCTAACTGAACATTGATATGTTTTATTATGCACAGAACTGCCATTAAACAGGCTGCCGCCCTTTTATAACTGCCATTATGCATGCACAGACACCCAATTCCTCATTCAAGAGATGCACTCCAATGACCCTGAATTCACTGTTCCAAAGTTGCTACTAACTGCTGTACCTTTCAAAGTTTTGAAATCCAGTTATTATTTCATCCTCAACCCGGTATCTTAAAGAACTTACACTTACAGTTATTCATCCTTGCCATTGCTAGCACCATGTTCTACCAGTTGAGTAAACTGAATAAACTATGAATGGTGCAGTCCTTTGTAAAATTCACAATCCGAATGCTGTGGGTGGTTGCTGAATGTTACAAGGTTGCTAATGTGTTGTAAGGGGTTTTTAATGTGTTACTATGTGGTTAATAGAGTGTTTTGGGTGGTTGCTTACTAGTCCAAGTCAAAAGAGGCCACCCGAGTCTCTTGATATGACTTGGGTGCCTCTTTCAGTGTAAGACTACAGTGTTGCACTATTTGAGGTATCTTTCATGTCCCATTATTAGTGTGGACGAGTTACCAGCCAAAGTTTTTATATTGCAGTTGCAAGAATTAATGTTGACTGATTTGATTGCTTCATTTTTTTTAAGCACTGGATGGGAATTCAACGATGTGATACATTGAATAATTGAATATTATGTTGATTCAGTAAAGTAGTCAGTTGCCTAAACAATTCGGTCCATGTTCAGATGAAGACTTCATTATTTCAGTCTTATTCTCCCATTGGTAAATTGGGTCATTAAAAAGAACCACGCCATGTGAGCAATTTGTTCAAATAATGTACAGAACATTTCATTTTCAGTGTAGTGCTGTTGAAAAGTGGTGCAGAAAACCCAATGGATCTTTTAAAATAGCAAGCAACAACGAACTGAAGAGAGCACTTGGCCATGATGCAGCGTGTTATTGACCCAGAAACCCAGTCCCTATTGTCTGCAGGATCTCACTTAAACGCAAGTGCTGAGTAAGAGAAAAACTCCAGTCTCCAAAGCTAAACTTTCTTCAACCGCTAGACAACCTCGCATACTCCTGGCCAAACTATACTTGATCTCAAATGAAATCTGTCTAAAACTACCTTGTTATCACACACTCATATACATATACACTCACACATAACAAAAGAATGTTGTGTAATATGCATTTCAAGGATTTCTGTGCAGACACTAGCTTAATATGTCTTGGCATGACAGTTTTGCATAATCTTTAGTACTAAAACCTTAATCCTTTTGACATATAGTCATTTTTCTCTCTGGACTTTAAAACTAACCATGAGATGCTAAAGAAAGTAGCCTGGTGCTCTACAGAGTGACCAATCAAATATTTATTTAGTGCCACATGGACTACAGTCTGTTTGAGAATGATTCATCATGGTTCTCTGATAAAATTATCAAAACAAAAGCAAGCAACTGAATATAGTAGAAGGGATCTGAGCCATGTCAATTGACCAGAATATCAAAGATTCAATTTTGCAATTTTTCATTATTTTTCCAATTATGAGTGGCAAAAATTTGGGGAGAAGACCAGATAATATTCCTATACTTTGTCAATGAAATCTCACTGAGATATTCATTAGTATGTTGAAGTTACACAACAAAATCAAACATTATCAGTCAGCAAGAGAAACGGCAGCTCTTATTGGTTTCGATAACCAAAAGATTGATACTGCCTGTAATACTGTAATGCAGCATCATGTAAACAGGTTTCATCTCTGTGTGGAGGAAACATCATGTGTTGGAGTAAGACCAGTCAGCCATTTGTGTAGAGTTTATTCACTTCCATTCAAAACTTTGTGGTTGTTTTTGAAAGACGGCTCTTCACCAAGGCTGCATTTATTTGATCGAAAATACAGTCAAAATAGTACTGTTGTTAAATATTATTACAATTTAAAATAACGGTTTTCTGTTTTAAAATGCAATTTATTCTTGTAATGCCAAAGCTGAATTTTCAGCAGCCATTACTCCTGTTCAGAGTCACTCGATCCTTCAGAAATAATTCTAATATGCTATTTGCTACTCAAGAAACATTTCATAGTCATAGTGTTAGTGATGTTAAAAACAGTTAACATTTTTGAAGTGTTTCGAAATCCTGAATTGGAAGAAGATCCCACATTTTCAACATGCTCTCAGTTTCGGACCTCACTGTATATCATTGTTAACAGATGATTCATGCTGCACCAAAACATCTGCCCTTTTATTTCCGTACTGTTGTACGATCCTGCCTGCTCGCAGGAAATGTTGTCCTCTACACGCAGTCAGTGATAATGTGTAAATCTCTGTCTAAGCCGTAGCCTTCCTCTCTGTTACCGACTCAGCGCTGTATGATCGGAATCAAAGACAATTGTCTCCCAGTCATCTGATCCAGTGACACACAAACAACTCGGGTCAGACAGAACACCACAGTATCATGTTATATGACAAACTGCATCATTGTTGTAATGATTGCAGAGATAATATAGTGCATCATGTTCAGATGTGAAATTAAAGTGCATCAAGTTTGCGGTGTATGTTAGCAGTCAGTTTTTTGGATGTGCACTACAATTTTTATTTTTTCCAAAATCAACTAGTTTACCAAAGCCATGCATAATTATTCTGATTTCATTCACTTGTCCCTAATTAGACGGATTTTACAGAGCCAGTATGAGATAAATACACCTTCAGTAACCAAGCAAGCATAAAAAAAATCTACATCCTGTTTTTAATTAGTTTATTATTTTATATCTTGTAAATGTTACCATCTTTCCCAGTTTATGTAAACTAGGTGGGTCCTACCAGAGCTTATTTTGATTCCATAGTGAATAAAGTAGGTCACCACAGCTGAGCACATTACTAAGCATTTTGTAGTAGGCATTATGATCACCCTCTATAACACACTGACCCATTTCCCAACACAATGGAGACACAAGTGGGTGGATGAAGGTGGGAGACACTAAACGCTGCTACATCATCACATCATCCAGCAGTAAACCTCACCTCGAGTGTGTGCCAATATACATTTATAGAAATGGACACACATGCACACACACACCACATGCTATAGTGATTAGATATACTGCACATGGTGTAAAAAGCTTTTTAATACAAGCACAGATGTTTATCATTTACTCATCCTCATGTTGTTCCACATCCATATGACTTACTTTCTAACGTGAATCACAAAAGGAGATATTTATAGAATTTCCAAGCTGCTCTTTTCCATACAGTCAAGCAAGATTTTGAGTGAATATTATATTTCAGTCTGTTCATCCCTCCTATTATAGGACTTTTATATAGTGATACATTTTTGTTCTTTTTGCAGCTTACAGTCTCAAGTTCCCATCCACTTTCATTTCATGGAAGAGCGCATTTTTCAAAACCGTGTTGGAACTTGGAAAGTCAAACTGTTTGGAATGACATGAGGGTGAGTAAATAAAGACATGTATTTGTTTACGGATAAACTATCGCTTGAAGAGTTTAAGAGATGTATAGTAAGCAGGCATGGGTGTGGAAGACTGATGTAAGGGTCTGTGTTATGTAATACTGCTTGTAGTTAAGAACACATAACAGAGACTCTGTTACTAATGCATTAGTGTAGCTTTTTGTTTGTGCGAATTCTATGAATATAAAGTGAATGAATATAAATCTCTTCTTTAAAAACAAGAATTTAATCTTAAAAAAATATATATTTATTTTAATATTACTTGAACACAATTTCAATAGTCTGTCCATTTCCAAAAAATAAACCTCCATGTGCTGAGCATTTAGCAGCAACTCACTGACAGTTTAGACAGTTGAGTTTTATCTAGTATCATTTCCTGTGCGTGAGCTCACTGGGAAACAAGGTAAAAAAAAGTTTATGAACACACATTAAGAAATTTTGGCTCCTCTTTGAAAACCAAAAAAGCCTTGCTTAGAAACCTTGACTTGGTTTAAGTCTGTGTTTTAAACTGGCTTACTTGCAATGTCATTCAGAGAAGTGCCTTACCACTGATGGACAAGCGGCATCTGTCAATAGGACCTTGCTCAACCAGTCAGTAGACTCGGCTAATTACAAAACATACTAGTTTCTCTTCTTTAGTAATTCAGATACTATGACATAATAATACTCAAAGGTGAAGACATGCGTTGGCTGCAATCAGTCACTCATTTGATCTCTAATCAGTCTGTAAATCCACTAACTGGCCACTGATAAATTGCCAACACTTGTAAAATGGCTTCATTAAAAGTCTGTCAGTCCAATAAGTTTTGTTATTACTATACTGGTAATAGTTTACCTTAAGAGTTGTGTTATTTGTATTATAACACATTTTTTGAAATGCATATTTAAACTAATAGAGGTTCTGCTATATATGTAAAAGTATTTTCATAATGCACTTTGATCTTATTGCATCATTGCAGTGATGTCATTGTTACAGAATAGATAGATAGAATATAGTAGTAGCTGTAGTAGATTAAAAAGATTATAATAGAACACATTAGAACTAGAATTAAACAAAATAGAATAGCGTACAATAGATTAGAACTGAATATAATCTAGTATGATAGATAAGATGAGAAAAGATAAGAACAGTATAGAAAAATAAGAGTAGAATAAAAAATAATCAGTGGAATAGATTAGAATAGAACAATCAATAGAAGGAATATATTACACTTAACACTTTAAAATAAGTTTCCATTTTTTTAAAACTACATTAGTTAACATGAACTAACAATGAAAATATAAAGCATTTATCAATTTTAGTTAATGTTAATTTCAATTCATTTACTAATATAATATTAAAAATAAAAATGTATTATTTAATGGACCTAAGTTAACATGAACAAACGATGGACATTTGTATTTTTATTAAACATTAACAATTAGCAATACATTTGTTTCAGTATGTATTCATCTTTCTATTGCATTAACTATCGTTAACTAATGGGACCTAATTGGAAAGTGTTAGCAATACATTTTTTTAGAAACAGATGATTATTAGTAGACTACTCTAAATAAGATTTTGCAATGCATTCCAAGCACAGATATGTTATTTGGCTTCCCGATCTATTACCTCCACCTGCTGATCCCGACGTTCGAGGATCCGGCGAACCAGGGGTCCAGGATGTACACACAGCGGACAGTGTGCGCTCCCTGTATGGAGTCTCTGAGTGAAGGATTGTCGTGGAGCCGCAAGCCCTTCCTGAACCAGTGGACCGTATTTACCACCATTACTCCACTCAAGTCCCTTCAGTCGTTTGTAGTATGCTGTGCTGCTACGATACAGATCTCCTAAGCGTCTCTCTACTTCACACTCCAAAGAATAAACTGCTTTCAAAAGCGTAAAAACGACAAATTATCTAATAAAGTCACTATGAATGCGCGTTCAAATGATTCTGGATTATATCCGGGGAAAAAATAGTTAGCCTTGCTCTAACAAAACACTTTCCATCATCACGTCTAATGATTTGGAACACGACCACAGTTGAAGCATTGGAGCAAGCGCTGGTTATCCGCGCAACAGCCGAATACACGACTGGCTTTAGGACCCGGACGCAACGCAAAGTACACTTCCCTGTTGTATAACTTGTTTTCCAGAATTACCCAAAATAATCAACAAGTTTTCCAGAATTACCCAAAATAATCAACAATACTGTACATGTTTTATATCTCGCCTTTAAAGCAAGTTGGCCTGTGAGTTGACTTGAATCTCAATGCGCGCAGTCTTCCAGTTGAAGTCAATACGGAGTAAGACGCGCAAGCCCGAAATCAGCGCGGTTATGTAAATATTAATATTCCCTCGAGCCCCTTGTAACCGCGTTACAGGCAACTTTCGCAAAATAAAGCAAAAGCCCGAATGAAATGAGACCTTATATTAGGTATTCAACGTGTCTTGGTTGTTTCCCCTCAACGTTATGTCCACTTATTAATATTTTCCCACGGCGAAGGTCCCATACACTTTCAGCCATGCAATCCAGTCGGTCGACTTCATTTCCCACCCGAACCTGAATTGTTCTATCTAATAAAAAAACTTAAAACCCAGTTATAAATTCTTCCTTCAATTCCAATTTTTTTAAACTCCACCTAGTTGATTACGCACATGAAATAGCGCGTTTTGTTTGGTCAAGCTCTAGTGTGACGTACTTGATCCTCAGTCACGTTCCTTTGGTGTGATTAACTAACATACTAACCAGTTATACTTTATAAAATGTTGTTCATTAGGTATTGTGAATGAACAATAGTCTTGATATAGTTTTTGTTAATATGCATATTATTACAGTGTTATTGTTTATAAAAAAATGCATAAAATTGTAAATATTATTTAAAATCGCTGTATGTGCAAATGACACATATAAACATCGCAAGGTTTGATATATACATTGCCACCCCATAAAGACCGTAAAGGACTTTAGTGTTCCGTCCTCGAAGCTGATTGGCTGGAGCTGCAGTACCCGGATGGGCACATGAGCGGTTACATGATGTCGCATCAGTGCGATGTGTTTTCCTGAAGCGAGATGGCGTTGAGACGTGCTGTTAAAATCTCAGTTTTTTACAAGAAATGTTCGCAGACAGGGCTTTTTTTAGGGCTATCTTAACACAATAACGACATCAGTGATCTGCATGAATGCAATTCTGGTCATATTTCGTACATCTCTGTTAGATAATTTTTAAGCAAAATTGCATTTTGTTTGCTATGTATGATTATTCTAGCTATTTAATATAATAGATATTTGCTTATACTGCAAAAGACAAAATAATAATGATCCTGTAAATATGCTTACACCAGTACCATGTATTGTCGTATCAAGCATCAATGGCTCTTTTTCCCTGGTTTGTTTACAGCCCACAGCCATGGGGGGAAAAGCCACCACGTACTGTAGGGTCCCCGCATACTCTGCACATTTGAGTTTTGATGCTCCAGCTTTGTCACCAGGGACAATTAAGTTGGTGGTTCTCAACCCCTGCTGCGCTGCACATTTTGTTTTTCTAATTTAACGCACCTGATTCACATCATCAGCTCATTAGAAGGGAGCTCCATGAACTGAACCGAGTGTGTCAGATATGAGAGACATACAAAATGTGCAGAGCAGTGGGTCACAAGGAGTTGAGAACCGCTGAATTAAGTGATGCATTCTTTTCTTTTCTTTTCTTTTCTTTTACCTTTACCTTTATTTAACCAGGAAGAAACTCATTGAGATTAAAAATCTCTTTTTCAAGAGTGTCCTGGCCAAGATAGGCAGCAGTACAACCATGCATACATACATACATACAGGTACAAAATATAGTAACATAAAACAACTGAAATAGCGAATCCTTTAAAATAAACCACAATCAATAACACATCAGGCAGAACATCTACAGCCAGATGTGACTGCCTCCAAGTCAGTTAACATCCTCTTAAAAGCGACCAATGAGACCAGCGTATTAATTTTCATAGATTTCTGTAATTTGTTCCACGAAGAGGGAGCAGCATACTTAAACGCCTTTTTCCCAGCTCAGTTCTAACCTTTGGAACAGACAGAAGGAAAAGATCCTGTGAACGAATCAAACTAATCCATTCACACCTATCAAAAGCAGCCACTAGACACACATATTGTGAACCAAGGATGTGTGCAATTTTGAACAAGATCATTTGTATAATTTCAGTTATTTTGCATTTTAGTGTATGATATGCAACTTTTTTTTTTGCAAGGGCTGTTTAAGCTTTGAGCACAGCTGTATTTAAAGAGTATTATTTGTTGATCATTAGTAAAGAAATATATATCATATGCGCATTTTCCAACATTTCTTTCAGTTCAGACCTGCATCAGTGGATAAACTATGATGTCCTTGATGTGTTTGATGGAAGAGCATAGGTAAGAGAAGCATAAAATCAGAAGAGCACCTGTTATTAAAGGAATAGTTTACCCAAAAATGAAAATTTGCTGAAAATGTTCTCGCCCCTGCAAGATGTTGTTTGTTTCTTCATTGGAACAGATTTGGAGAAATGTTGCATTACATCACTTGCTCACCAGTGAATCCTCTGCAGTGAATGGGTGCCGTCAGAATGAGAGTTCTGGAAGGCCTGAGGGTAAATACATTTCCAGCAAGTTTTTATTTTTGGGTGAACTATTCCTCCGTTTAATCTCATTTTAACTTGTCTGCATTCACACTGCCTATAATTCAGTATGTTATGAAATATTTGTTAAAAGCATTTACAAAGTTAATTTTTAACTCATTTTTTAACTGATCCGATTCAGAATAAATAATGGTCATATTATATAGTTAATGATGCTGAAATTTGAAATTAATTTGAAATTATTTTCAGTTACTGCCTCACCATTTGAACAAGAATGAGTTCGTTTTTCCACATTCCTAGATGTGAAGTATGACAATGTTCAATCTATTTCAAATATAAATATATATAAAGTATCTCACCATCATTTTTCTTTCTATGCAACATCATTTATGTAGGCATGTTGCTGTTTCAGCAAAATGGTAGCTTGAAAAATGTCTGAATGTAGTTGAATGTAGTTGTCTGAATGAAGTTACTTATGCAATTCATCGCCAACCATATAACATGAACCATAGAATATGTATATTAAACCTTCCAGAGGAGGAATGAATCTGGAGATCTAGACTTAATTACAGATTTCTTATTATACTTGTTCTTTTTGTCCTGATATAACCATGATGGTCTCTGTGTATCCATAAGATGGAATTTTTATGTAAGTTATACATAGGCACCAAATATATTGTCGCCTTTGTGTTTCCAGGCAACAAGCAATCATGGAAGAACATGTGAAGGAGAAATCTCAATTAAGAAAGGCCAACCTCTGTATCCCAGCCTGCCGCTGCTGTGCACTAATTTATTCAAATGCACAGTGCATATATAAGGTAATTAATATAATATGTAGAATGGATGAAATGTGATTAAAAGCCTAATTGTTTTTATTATAGCTAAGACTGAATGCTAGTCAGATAAATCTGTGCCTTTAATAGTGTAAAACACTACAGAACTAATAGAATTAGTTTATTTCTGTTGAAAATGTATATTTTATTGTACATTACTGATTTAATGAAAAGGAAATTAGATAAGGATCAGATAAGATTTTAATAAGAATATTAGACAGTGTTACATTGGATGCAATGGAGACTCAATGTAGATTTTAATATAGAAAGTACTTTTTTGATAATGACTAAACTTTTGTGCAAGGTCTTTTTTGTAATAAGCTATATATACAGTATATATATATATATATATATACACAGGTGCATCTCAATAAATTGTGTTTTTTGAAAACCAACGTCACTGCACCCGTTTACCAAGAAGTTTTGGAGCACTTCATGCTTCCTTCTGCTGACCAGCTTTTTGAAGATGCTGATTTCATTTTCCAGCAGGATTTGGCACCTGCTCACACTGCCAAAAGCACCAAAAGTTGGTTAAATGACCATGGTGTTGGTGTGCTTGACTGGCCAGCAAACTCACCAGACCTGAACCCCATAGAGAATCTATGGGGTATTGTCAAGAGGAAAATGAGAAACAAGAGACCAAAAAATGTAGATGAGCTGAAGGCCACTGTCAAAGAAACCTGGGCTTCCATACCACCTTAGTAGTGCCACAAACTGATCACCTCCATGCCATGCCGAGTTGAGGCAGTAATTAAAGCAAAAGGAACCCCCTCCAAGTATTGAGTACATGTACAGTAAATTAACATACTTTCCAGAAGGCCAACAATTCACTAAAAATGTTTTTTTTTTTATTGGTCTTATGAAGTATTCTAATTTGTTGTGAATTGGTGGGTTTTTGTTAAATGTGAGCCAAAATCATCACAATTAAAAGAACCAAAGACTTAAACTACTTCAGTCTGTGTGCATTGAATTTATTTAATACACGAGTTTCACAATTTGAGTTGAATTACTGAAATAAATGAACTTTTCCACAACATTCTAATTTATTGAGATGCACCTGTATATATAATAAGCAACATATATTTATCTGTAAAAAGGTAATAATGGTCGTAAACAGCATGTTTTTTTTGTTTGTTTGTTTTTTTGCTGTGAACACTGAACCGTCAAGTGGAAATCACAGGGTCTGTTATACAATCTTACTGCCAAATTATTTTGCCCCAGTATTCACAAGCCCTGCTAAATGTATTCCATCTACCATCTTTAGTGTATGTATGTGCATCTAGTGTTTTGTATAATATTTAGTAATTTTCTCGATGAGTTGTGGTATTATTTTCTGTGTTTCTGTCACAAATCTAGAGGAATAGAGGAATATCAAGTACAGAATAAAGGCTATTACTCGATATCACCTATAGAGGGCACCAAATACGCAAGAATTCTCCATCAACGCACCAAACGTCGCTTTCTATGCGTATTAATAATGAACTTGATAAGGAGACAAACTGCGAGGCTTCTCACGTCAAAACAATTAGTTTATTTTCATGCCAGAACACTTGCATAATTAAACACACAAAGTCTTTGGACGTTTTTTAAATCCGTTCTCGTATATCGTGCGTGTTCCATTCCAGAACTTTTTGACAATTCTGAAGACAGATGAAAGGTGCAGAAGCTGTGCAAGCGATTGCTTTCATCTACAAATTTCAGAATCATCGCGTAAACATCCTCCGGCTAAAGAGAAGCATGTCGAGTTGGTAAGAGAGAAGAGTGTTTAAAATATATTATGAGGTAGGCCTATATCTTGTTCCATATATATATCATATATAAATAATTATTAGTAATATTGACATTATTGATCATTTTATAATATTCTAACACAGGGGTAGGCAAGTTCGGTCCTAGAGAGCCGCAGTCCTGCAGAGTTCAGCTCCACCCCTGAAAAAAAAACTCACCTGCCTATAGCCTTAGTAATCCTGAATACATTGATTAGCTTGTTCAGGTGTGTTTGATTAGGGTTGGAGCTGAACTCTGCAGGACTGCGGCTCTCTAGGACCGAACTTGCCTACCCCTGTTCTAACAATATGTAAATAATTAATAAATATTA